CAGGGGTATCTAGGATGGAATGCAGAATATGGCAAAAGAATCTAACTGAATAACAAATATATGAAAGACCATCACTGAAAAAGGGGGGAGAATAAAGTGATGAACTAACTTTGAAGGACTAGAACCTAAGAATATTGTCAAGAGGAACTGTACACAAGTCCTGTTCTCTAACTGGTAAAGTTGTTTTCCATAGGGGTAACAAGTTATCAACTTTGAAACCACTACACTCTATACTAGTACTGATTAAGTATATGGATGGCCAATGATGGGAGAAGTAGGTCTGAAAGTGTACATACTATATTATTCCAATTATAAAACATTCTGTTGAAGGTCATAGATCAGCATGCAGAAATAGGTTAGAGTTGGAGACATCCAATTTAAAATTTAATAATGATATAGCTTATTACAAACAGAAAAATTTATACATGTGTATATATAGAGAAGTATACCTACATATTTTTTTCCTGCTTTGTCCACCCTTGAAGCAATGATACCCAAAGGTAGCATTAGGCACACCTAGTTACCAGGTCTGATTTCTAGTAGTATTCTTTAATAAAAGGTATCAGGGCTCACTGGAGAAAATAGTTGTTTCTAGAACTGGCACACAATATACATAAGATAAGCCTGGAGCTTCTTATAGTGCCAGAAAGTAAGGAAGTAACCAAACAAAAAAACAAAACCCACAATGATAGGGGTATGTCAAAGGGATACAGAAGTTGATTCAAAGACATACTGGTGGCCAAAATTGGAAAATGTGGGCAACAAAATATAGCAGTATTAGATTATTTAGATTACCAAAGTATAAAACAAAAATCTATAAGCTCATATGATGTGAGGGAAGGGGGGACAAATCTCCTATACAGAATTCTAAATAACCTATGCAGACACTTCCCTCTAAAGGAGTTGGGGGTTAACTCTCCACCTCTTACATATGGGCTGCTAAAGTAACTTCCTTCCAAAGAGTACAGTATGGAAGGAGGGGCCAGGAGGAGAGAGGAACTTTACATTGCAGAAACCTGACCAACACACCACCTCAGCCAGGTGATTGTGGCTAACAAAAACAGTAAGAGGGCATGTTCATACTATGTATCCTTGATAAGAGACATTATGATATGGCACTTTACCTCTGTGAGCTTTTCCCCCAATCTCTTAATCTAATCACAAGAACATCAGACAAATCCCAATCGAGGGGCATTCTACAAAATACCTGACCAGTACTCCTCAAAATTGTCAAGGTCATCAAAGACAAGGAAACTCTGAAAAACTGGCACAGCCAAGAGGAGCCTAAGGAGACATGACGACTAAATGTAATGTGGTTTCCTGGATGGGATCCTGGAACAGAAAAAGGACATTAGGTAAAAAGTAGGGAAATCTGAAAAAAATGTGGACTTTACTTACAACAAAGTACCAAATAACGGACTATGAATTGTGTGAAATGTATCATACTAATGTAAGATATTAATAGGAGTGAAATTTCGTGTGGGGTATGTGGGTACTCATCATAATTTTTCTGTAAATCTAACATGATTCTGAAAGGTTTATTCAAAAAAAAAAAAAAAAAAGCACATTAGGCCAGACTAACCTAATATTAAATAATCTTATTTAATAGATTTCTAGTCAAATACTTGTTATGGTCTTCCATCAACCCCTTCTAGAACAACAAGGAGAACAATGGAACAGACATAAGAAAAATTATGTGTGTTTGCTGAAACAACATAATCAGGTTACTGACTAAAGGCTTGAAGGGAAGGAAGAAGATTTCTATAAGTATCCCAGGGGTTGGACATAACTTTTTTATGTTTATATTTATTATCAAGGACCTGAACACCACAGTGTATGCCAAGGAAGTTTGCCAATGAGAGGAAATAGGGAAGAACAAAAACTCTGAATAACACAATCAAGAATTGAAAGGATACTGACAAGTTGCAGAGACAGAATGGATCTAATACAATGAAATTAAACAGAAAAAAACAAACAAACAAAAAAAAAAACCTGTGTGCCAAAAGCCAAAGTAAAAAATGCAAATATAATTTCAGAGTAGCATTTAAAAAATTTTTATGTGGGTTTTAGTTAACCTCACTGAGTTGTGAGAACTAGGCTACCCAAAAAGGTAATGTCTCTTAAGTCATATTAAATTAAATATAAATTGTTAGGATGAAGTGGGGTAAGAGTATCGATGATCTCAAAGCTTACCAGGTCATATTTAGGGTACATATTAAGCTCTGGAAATTACACATTAAGAAGAACAATAATAAGCAAATGCACTCAAAAATCAGGAATCATGATTGCTGATCTGAAATTATGCTACACCAGGAAGGCTTTCTAGTCTATAGAAGGAAAGCATAAATTTGACAACAATCTTTAAATATCTTGAATACTATGGTGTGAAAGAGCTCTTTATACTTTGGTATGGTTTTAGGGGTAGCACTAAATCCAAAACATGGAAGCTCCGAAAACATATTTTTCACAGTAAAGATTTTCTGAGAGAGAACTACAGTTACCATTCTCTAAAACAAAAAGCTGATTTATGTATCAGTGACATTTTTAGGAGAATTAAAAATTGGGTAAAAGAGAGTATTCAGTACCTTTCCAATCTGAGATTATCACTAAAAAAAGCACAAGTAACATTTAATCATAAAGTTCCTGTGACATTCAAAGGGAATCTGCTTAACTTATACTGGTTTAGTTATTAGAGGGACTTTATTCTAAAATGCTGAAAACTTTAGGAAGCTAAAAAGTGAAACCAGCATTTAAAATCTTGACTCCTGTCCATCCTCAATCCCTCAAATAAAAGAGCATTTCTTGGTTTATTTGGGGTTTAGTAGATTCAAATTAATTTTTTAAAATGGAAAATTCAGGATTAAGTGTATTATCTAGTGTTCAAATACTATATCAAACTGTCAAAAGCTATATAAAAAACTAGTGAGTACAGCCTACAGAGGTACTCATTCTCTGAGTGTTACTGTCTTCAAATCTGTTGTATTTTAGATTAAAGGGGCTGGATATATAAAAACTAAAAGTTCCCCATCCTTTTAAACCATCAAATTTGAAAATGTAAACAAATTAGTATATATGAGAAAACATTAATTCCTTTAACTTTTTTCAAAGGAAAAAATGAACACACACTTCTAGCATACACGATTATTCATAAAATAATTCCCATCAAGGAAACATTCTAAATAACAGAAGAGGAAGTAAATACTACAACCACAAAATTTCTCAATCAGATAACATTTCTCTGATTGTTTCATGAGCTATAGCAAAAGCCTGTCTATGTATAATCATCTGCTATTGTAGATCTCCTTTGTGCTCAAATTATTCCTGTGGCTGTATCAGCTAAAGACTAAGAAAAAAAGCAGCACATAGATGGGCAAAGACATTTGTTAGCAGAAACAATTTTAAGCACATTCAAACAGTAAGGAAACTGAACACATTTTCTTTTAAAATAAGTTTTAAATCACTAAGGTAAAGGTTCCATTTTCTTGCGTTAGCATAATGTGAGTTTGGCAAAAACACATTTCAGAAATTGACAATGGCGGGGAAGCTAATTCTTTATTTAAATTAGTGTGTAACTTTATTTTATGAAGCTAGGTACAACAGAGTACAATATAAAAAGGAGGGAGGCCTAAAGGTCTGACTTCAATTCTTGGTTCTGCTTGGATCATTAGCAATGTCATGTACAAAAGACAATCTTTCTTAACCTCCATCTTCTTGTCTTTAAAATAGGGACAATAGAGGTCCCCACCCTTTTCACAAGATCATTGTGAAGGTTAAATAAAACAAGCATAAAAAGCACTTTTCAAACTATAAAGAACTGTAACAATGTAGTTTGATTATTATTAATATATTACATCCAACATTTCCAAAAGGTGTTATCAGAGTATAATTTGATGCTGGGTACAAAACAGTGATGTTAATATACTGAGAATAAAACAAATATACTACAGGTGAAAAAAATCTAAGATTCTCACTTTTAAATGTCACTAAATAATGAGGGCCTACTTTTCATTTCTCCAAGGTAATCTATAGATGTCCATGAAGGAAGAAAGTAGTAACAATGAATTTTTTGTGAAAACTAAGAAACAGATGACATTACTAGAAAAATCAGGAAAACACAGAGAAATGGCTAAGAGGGGAGTCAGGTAAGAACGCTCAGTTTAAAGACAAGTTTGGAAATTGGCTGGGAAAACTTTTGTAAAAGTATCAGAAAATTCACAAGCAATGGGCTTAATATTCCCTCCCCAGGGTCTCCAGAATTTGCCATGGTATAGGAAAATACCTAAAGTTTGCAATTAATCTACAAAAAAAAGCAGCAATACACAATGGAGAAGCATATTCACATCTCTAGTTAAATACCTTAAGAAAGGCTAGGGTGAAGTGGAAGCACTTTCCTAAATAATCTCAAGAAAAGAATAACTGTGCTGTCCTTCATGGTATACATAATTTTTGAACTCTGTACATTAAGGTTATTCATATTAGTGATTCAACTATTTTCAATAGGAAACTTGCCAGTTTAGCCTGAATCTTTACTGTACAGCTCTCATAATACTAACAAAGCAGGATAAAATAAGACTAAGCAATAAGATGTTTGAGAAAGAGTATTAATTTTTTAGAGACAGAAAACTTGAGAGATTTGGCATTGATTTTTTACTCTATTTTGAGGAAAATCATTTCACTATCCTCTCTCTCTCTCCTTCTCCACCTGCCAAGTAAGTTGACAAATATAAATTGCCACCTGTCAGCACGTTGCAGAGGGAATCCCTCTGTTGAAAAGCTAGGGAAAAACTTTTAGCTTCTCTGTTACTTTAATATTATATAACCTTATAAATACATCTTCTCCCATATAAAATAAAAGTGAAGGGCTTCAAGTACCTCAAATAAAATTTAATTAAGTGGTCCCTTTTTGGCATATCTTAAGATAAATTATATCAGAAACAATTTTAAATACTTATTTTTTTCTAGTCTAATGATTTTTTTTTCTCTCTTTCTAGAAAATTTACCTTTATCCTTATCCAATGGTTCCTGGGAAAGAATAGTGCACAGTACCGGGTTTTTCCACACCCCAGTCTCTTGAGCTAGAGTAGCTAAAAAATGCAATTCACAGCTGCCATTCTCCATCAGCTTTTCATGAGCTACCTATAAATATTAAATAAACATCCAAAGAATTACAACAGATTTTAAAAAGCAAATATATCAGGTTTTAAATATAATACCAAACTTTCGGAAAACAAACCTTTATAAATTTCATGTCACATTACAAAGTGCTACATTCTGTTACCTCTCATTTTTAAAGGTAAATCTCAAAGAATGAAAAGAATTACTAATTTTAAATAGTACTTTTAGAAAAACAATTTCCTCCCAAAAAACTAAACCAAGAGCAAAGTTATTTCACAAGAAAACCACTAAAATATCCATTGCATAAGAGACTACACATTTTACATCCTCTTGTTGGTAAAAATTTCCCCCCAAAACATCTACCATTATTAATAAGTGACAAATGTGCATTAAGGTGTAAGAGACAACTTACACATATTTCAATAAAAGGGATTTAAGAAAACAACCAAATGCATGCTTTTTTTTTGTTTATCATATAGCTTTGGCAATCTTATTAAAGCTGACAAACTTGCTTACTAGTTGTTTCCAAGTGGTCAAGCAATCAGCATATTCTTCAGCCAACAAAGACCAATCATTTTTAATCAAATAAGAAAATGTTCATTGAGAATTTCTATGGACAAATTACTAGGGAAGGGAGTTATCAGTGCCAGTGTTTATAGGACTTATCCTCTAGTAGAGTAGAAATATTTTAACAGCTAAAACAAAGGCAAAATGAAATAAATACTGTAAACCAGACATAAATTAACCCAGAGGAAGCACCATGGTGCTCTGTTTATATGAAAAGTCTATTCCTCAAAGCCATAAAAATCTTCCCACTGCAACAAGATCGAGTGCTTAAAGAATTTTCTTTTAGTTACTGCTGAAAACTACCACAAAGGGATTTAAGACTTCTCATTAATTCTTATGTATAAATATCAATCAGTGATACTGTTTCAAAAAGGGAAATTTGAAAGTTTATCTTATATTGACAAACAAAATCAATAGCAAGAGGAATTGGCATTATATTTGTACACAAGTAACTTTTAAAATTAATTATATGTAGAGTATATGTGAATGCCAAACAATGAAAAGTTCTGAAGTAATTATTTAACTTTGAAAACAAACACTCGCTGCCTGAGGTTAAAAAAAAAAAAAACAAAAAAAACTAAGACACAAATTACTGATATGCTGAAGCAGAAATTGCATGAGCAAAAAGTTAGTGGCAATGTGACAAACAGGACAGGACAGTTTCATTTCAACAAGCAGTTATTAAGTATCTACTATGTTTAAGATTTTATGGGGAATCCTATGTTATTAAAATATGAATTCTACCTTCAAGAATTTTGTACTTGATATAGATTTTAATGTGTGATATTGAAATGGGAAAATTGATCTATCTTATTTCACATGCTTCTAAAATTTGAGACTAACCCTCTTTATCTTCCACAGAAAAACAGAAGGCCAAAAGATGTCTTAACACTATCTAGAGAAATAGACAAGTATACTATTTAAAACTAGTTAGGCAGAAACATTTTTTTAACCAATTAATCAAATATACAGGAAGCAATAAGATATCCAGCACAATGTAGTGCTTAAAATAATATTTAACGTTCCTGAAAATACTCTAAGTGCTAACTGTGCAGTACACATATCATTAGAATAACCACTAAATAAAAGACAGAGCACATGTTGCCAGATATAGGATTCAAATGACTGCTCTGTGATATTAACTGTAGAAACGTGGGCAGATAACTATATTAGAGCATGAGCCTCAGTTTCCTCACCTTTAAAATGTACTATACACCAGGAGAGCGTTCAAAAGGATTAAATGAGATGTTAATTCTTAAAAAGCATATTGCAGATTTTTAGCAATTAGTGAAGCTATTTCTAAACACAAATGAGGGCATTTTCTTTCGTGTTCTCTTACTGTTTTGGAAAATCCTAATTATCTGATTTTAAAGAACAGTGTGTGCTGTTCAACCAATCTTACTAAATATATGTATTCATTTTAGCAAACACTGAGCATCTACTATATGCTTTATTAGGACACTAGTACTAATAAAAACAGCAATTAATGTTTGTCATTACTTAGACATTTTAAAGTTTCACTGATTATTTTATTAAGAATAAAAGGAAAGTAATATATAAGCTATATCTATGTAAAATCTAGTAGGTAAATATTCTCACCTGCACCAGTGTCTGAAATTGCTCCCACTGTTTATCTGATAACTCAACAGGCAGACACAATAAAAGTTCAACACAGCTTCTAAAAAACAAAAAGTTGGCAAGAACACAAATAATTATTAGAATTCAAAGTAAAATAAAACCAACAATTCTAATGTTGTCAGCAGACTCTCCATATATTTAAAATTGAACAATCTTAAGACCTGTGATATATAGTTTTTAAAAAGCTAAATCTAATTTTTTATTTACTCAAAGGTCTACTCACAATGCCAAGCGTTCCAGAACCAATGCTACATTTTCACATTCAGAGGTAAGATAAGGTCGGGCTTTAACATAACTTTGGATAGCCACTGTGTATACCTCCAATAAAGGTAAGGGATCTTCTGATGTTTTCCATTTCTCTGCATATTCAAGGAGTGTCTGTTTTGGAAGGAATAATAAAAATATTCAATGTGAATAAAAATACACCATTTTTCTTTACTCCCTAAGAAATTCTGAAAAATAACATTTCTATTTATAAAAACAAATAGTAGTTTGTGCTGATTCAAATATTAAAAGTAATAAAGTCATATTTCTAGCAACTAGAGAAAAGAGCAGTGTTAATTCATGCAACAATAGCATCATTTTATGATTTTTTTTTTAAATCTTATTTATTTATGTATACAAGCACTGGGTACAGTCAGAAGCGCAGGAGGGTGAGAGAATTCACCAGAGCCAGAGCGGGGAACAGAACAGGCAGACCGACGAAATACACTGCTGAGGGGAGCAGCGGGTGCCAGGAGAAGTCTGCACGCCATGTGGGACCCTCGCTGGCAGCTGGCAGGGATCAAACCGGCACTGCAGAGGCTGGGGGCAGCTTCGCAGCCCAGCGTGCAACCGCTGCATACCAAGGGAGGCCCATTTTTATGATGGTTTTAAATAGTGCAAGCAATAGCTCTTTTCTCCCCTAGTCAAAATGCTACCTTTTCCACTAAAATTTCTAAGATTTAACTTGGGCAAGTAAAACTTGACCAGGCATGCAGTGCTCAATTTCAAAGAATATTTAGGCTTCTATTTTTCAAATAAGGAGCAGGAAATTCAACACCTAACAAAAAATGACATTTGTCAGAAAAGACATGTAATTTTTCAGTCAACAACAACAAAAATTTAACATCTTACTCTTCTTATGAAAAGCTTACTCTTCTTACTCTTTTTATGACTAAAAAAAAATCATCTAAAGAACTTTAATGTTTATCAATATTAAAGAATGACTACATGATCAAGCAATTTTTGTAATAAGGTGTTCTTTTTTAAAATTAAAAAACATTCTCCAATCCTTAATGAAGTAAATATTTCATATTCATCCTATAAAAATTGCTAAAAGGAAAAAAATGCTTATCCTACTAAAAAGTAAAATCCAACAGTTAATTTTTAAAGATATTATTGATGTTATTCAATGATTCATGAATCAGCAACATCCCATCTAGCAGACAGGAGCTCCAAAAGGCTTTACGAAATAAAATGTTTTTTATAGACAGAAGGGGGGGAGATAAGGAAATTATTAGCAGAGAGTGAACTGTTTCCGGCATGGTTAACTTCTTTTGGGAGAAGGAATAGGTCTGTAAGACAGATTACCTGATCAGGAAATTGCAGCTGACTTTCTTGTGAAAGGCTGAAACTATAATTAGGTTAGGTCATAAGTGTTGGTTTTTGACATGTGTGAAGCTTAAGCACATTTCGGGTCTGCTGTCTTTTTTAAAGAATTCTATTGAAATAAGAGATGGATAAGAAACTGACAACAGTAGTAAAAAAGACAACCAAATGTTAAGATTCTACAACTATTAAAATCAAGAGTCAGAAAAACTATCAAAAAGGCACTAAAATTACACTAAATAAAATAGGACTTCAATTAAATGGTTTTATGAAATAGAAGACTTCCACAATCGGTCCTCGGTATATAAGGGTTAAGACTCATTTTATCACTTATGGAAATTCAGGTGTCTTCTCCTAGAGAAGATGTTCCATGAGGGCTTGTATCCTCTGGCATACAGATGCAATTTTGTAAAAATGTGTGGGAGGGAGGGAGGGAAGAGGGATTAAAGGAAAAAGGACGGAGGGGAGGGAGACTAGAAGGAAATTACACCTCAAATCTCAAACTCACAAAACATTGAAAACAAACAACTGCTTGTCCTCTCTACTAACCTCTAAAGAAGCAATAGGTGAGCAGACAGAATAGGCAGATTAATTACCATTAATATGGTAATTTAAATAACAACTTAACTTTCTGAGTAATCATGTATTCATAGATCTTAACCTCCAAGCTAGACAGGGTGCAGGAAACCTGGAGACCAGGTACTTGCAAATGACATCTAAAACGAGGCTAGTTTTGTGGGATAAAGTCCTTTAGCCTTTGGAGTGTGATGCCAATTCTAGATAGTGTCAGAGTTTAACTGAATTGTAGGACAACTATCAATATTTGGTGTTATCTAATAAAACTGCTACTAGTAAAGACACCATGTATTTGAGGTCAACAGTAAAAAAAAAAATCTTTAAAGGACTTTTAGAAATCTAAACAAAACCTACCAATCAAATGGAAAAACCAAGTATAATGTTATGTATCTTAAAAATGTTACAGGTGTAGGGGTCTCTCAGATGGCACAAGGGGGTAAGATACAACCTATGAAGCTATCTGCAGCCACTGCAGCATGAGTTCAATCCCTGGCCAGGGCGCTACCCACATGGAGCAGCACACCCCTCCTGATTCACCCACTGCTCCCCTCAGCAGTGTATTTCAGTCAATCGCCTGTTCTGTTCCCCACTCAGTCTCTGGTGAATCCTCTTACCCCACATCTCTGGCCTGTATCACAGTTCTTTTAAAAAAAATGTTACAGTTGCAAAAAGTTGACATGATTGGTTCTAATGTTTTCCTTAGGAATTTTATGGCAATATAACAGATAATCTCACTCACATTTTCAAGGATTTCAGAATAAACACCTATTATGGATACAATTCTTACTTTAGCTAGCATTTGTCTTTCTACACAAAGTTATTCTTTCTGCTGGAGAAACAAGTTTACACATCTGGGGAAGTTCACACCTGGGCAAATGCTCCCAATCAAACACAGATTAGATCAAACCTGTAGGTTCCCCATTAGTATTCTTGTAGGAATGAATTTCCATAATAGCTTAACTTTTAATAAAATATATATCATATACTGATTTCCCAAAACTTTTGAAATTATAAGCTTCTCACCCCCAATTCTGAAGAAACTCTTATCTGACACACACACACACTCCCACCCTCCCCCCCCTTTTTTACCCAACCTGTAACTTGGTATGTCTAGCTCTGTAAAGGTTACTCATACTTTAACTTTCCTTTTATGTAACTGAGTTCTGTTCTCAGATGAAAGAAGTTTTTAAATTTAACTGATTAATATATATCCAAAGATGAGTTCTTTTGAGTAAAAGAGTCTGAATTGGTAAGAAAAATACACAATTCAGGGCCTCCCTGGTGGCGCAAGGGGTTAAGCACCGCACTATGAAGCAATCCGCAGCCTCTGCAGCATAAGTTTGATCCCTGGCCAGGGAGGTGACCCACATGGCACAGCAGATTGCTCCTGTCTCACTTGCTACTCCCCTCAGCAATGTATTTCAGTAGATCCGCCTGATCTGCACCCCACTTTGTCTCTGGTGAATCCTCTCACCCCCTGCATTTCTGGCCTGTACCCCAGCTCTTGTATGCATAAATCAATCTTTAAATTTTTTTTTTTTTAAAAATACACAATTCACAGAATATTAGCACCTGAAGGCACCTTAAAAAATGATCTCACTTCATTTTACAGATGAGAAAAGAGGGAGAGGAAAGCAGATTCTGGTGAAAATCAATCCACTTAGGTAGCTAATTAGTAGTCTGGGAATAATTTAACTAGGGAGGAAAAAAGGATGATGGCAGATTATGAGATGGTATAAAAACAAAACTGATGACAAGTTCATATAATTAGATATTAGAGAACAAATTAAAAAGTTGGGTGAAAAAGCAAGTATCTATCTGTATAAAGCTATAAGCTGATATTCACTGCAAACAAGTTTATCAATAAAACATCCCTTGTTTCTGAAGACACTAAAGATCAAGAGAATCACTGGAAAGTAAAAGTATCCTCAACATGACTGGTTACTAAATTTTGCTTTCTTCAATTAAAAAAATTGCTCATTTGCATTTACTGCCTTAATCTATAATAGGATTTCCAGGCAGGAATCCCAAAATGATCAGATTCATATTCTTTTCACAGAATCAGAAGAGACCTTTAAAGATCATTTAATTCTATTTTACAGTGGTCATTAAAGGGTCCAGTGACCTGAATGATATTAAAACAATTGATAATTAGCAAAGCCAGGCAAGACTCATTCTTTGTACAACATTCTGTCCACTACAATAAATACTATGTGTGGTAATGGCACATAATTATAAATCTGTGGAATTTATAATTATAAAGTATCTTTTGCCTATGTTATTTCAATTATTCCTCATCTCTATGAGAAAAATACTATTTATCCAATTTGCCAACCATAGTCGGATCTTTTTTACCAGTTAAATTCATTTTAACAGAAGAATTAACATCATTAAAACTGCGGTATTACCCAAAGCAATTTACAGATTTAATACCTACTCAAAAATATCAGTGATTTTTTTTTTTTAAGATTTATTTATTTATTTATTTATATAAGCACTGGGTACAATCAGAAGCATGGGAGGGTGAGAGAATTCACCAGAGCCAGAGCGGGGAACAGAGCAGGCAGAAGGACCGAAGTATACTGCTGAGGGGAGCAGCGGGCGGCAGGAGAGGTCTGCGCGCCATGCCATGCGGGACCCTCCTCTGGTGGCCGGGGAGCAGCTGGGGATCGAACCAACGCCGCAGAGGCCGCGGGCAGCTTCGCAACCCAGCGCTCAACCGCTGCGCCACCAGGGAGGCCCAATACCAGTGATTTTTTAAGGAAACGGAACAATTATCTAATGTATATGGAACCACAAAAGGCCCTGAACAACTAAAACAATCTTGAGGAAAAAAACAAGAAAAAATGGAGGAATCACACTTTCTGACTTTAAACAATATTACACAGCAACAGTAATCAAAAGCAGTATGGTACTAAAACAAAAACAAAAACTCAGACCAATGGTATACTGAACTGAAAGCCCAGAGATAAATCCATATAAATACAGACAGCTAATTTCGAAAAGGATTAGTGATCATACATTGGAGAAAAGACAGCCCTTTTAAATAAATGGTACTGGGAAACATGAATAGTCACATGCAAAAAAATAAAGCAAGACCCATATTAACACCATACACAAAAATTAACTCAAATGAATCAAAGATTTTGACATAAGAACGAAAAACATCAAATACTTGAAAGAAAATACAGCAGACACATTACAGGACATCT